ATTCTGTTTTGTCGCTATTGTAAAAGTTATATCACTCAGCATGCGCTTTTTATTACTGAAGAAATGGCAGGAAAGCTATCATAAAACATTTATAATTGATTCCGTGCTTATGACCTTCAAAATTATAGCATTTGATTCCTCGTGATTTATTAAAAGTTTAATAGCAAGCCTATGTTTTTTCATAAAATTTTTTCTATTGTTTTTAAGTGAAACATTTTATATTTATTTTTTAAAACAGTTTTATTTTTTCTAAGGATTAAGTTAGGTTTATGAGAGATTAGGAGTTTCATTGAATGTATCTTAAAGCTCATTACTAGGGCTAATAATTTCCAATATATATATACCCAACCTTTTTTTATTTAATAAAGGCTCCAAGACTTGCAACTTTGCAGAAAATAATACCATCTATGTTTGTGATAATACCTTAGAAAAATACCTTATGTTATTTTTAGACTGCAATACAAAATACTTGAAGCAATTGGTTGGTTAAATTTAACAACACACTACAATGCAATACACATCTTTATAGAGATTTCTGCATTATTGTGCGTGTGTTCTAAGATATTTCAAGTCTTCAAAAAGGAGTGTGAAATCTTTTTGCATTGAACTTCTCTAGCAAAGCGAAACTTTCTACCAGACTTATCTCTACGTTAACATTATCTCTCTGCCAGTGTAAATAGAGTCAATTCTGCTTTATTTTATTTTCAGTAATTCGATTAAAAAATTGATGGTAGTGGAAATACTCCCAGTAAAAATTGATAGCAATGTTTTGATGTGTATTTAAATAATAAAGCATTTCATATCGTATTGAAGTAACACAACATTTAATGGTAAAAGCAAAAAGCTTTTGTTGAAAACTTTTTAGTATATTTAACTATTTGTTTCATCAAGAGGAATATTTTTATTAAAAGAAGAGTTTTTGTGTATGATGAAATATTTTCTAGCACTTCTTTTAAATTATTTTTGACATTTTTTTTTATTGCTTCTAAATTACGAATTAAGCCAAAATTGACTTTATTGATTTCGGATAAAAAAAAGTGTGAGACGGAATAAATTGCACATTTGAGATTTTTAAAGTGTAAATATCCTTTTAGAGCATTTAACTCGTTCCATTCAGTTCTTTTATATTTTTCAGAAAACAAATTAAACTTTGATAAATCCAAAATTAAGGTTGTCTTATTTAATTATAAGTGAACCACGCTTTAAGCATTTGATTAGAAAATTGCAGCACTAGTGGTTGCATTCTTATCTAATAAATAAATTCATATCTAGTTTTATAACTTTATCAATCCAATAGTACAACTATGAAATTGTACTTGCATTTAATTATTAGAGTTTCTAATCAAGTATTTGATTATTAAATTATTTTATTTATTCATATATATTAATTGATCCAACAAATTTAACATCTTCAGTTTTGTAGATGATAAGTTTGATTCTTCCGTGAAAACAAATGCTTTTTAAAAAAATTACTTAAAATTGCTCAAGCTGATTTAAAATGGCTTATTGCTGCGCCTAAAGTTCTCAAGTTAATAAAACATAAATGCACCAAAAATGTTCCCCATTTTTCATATACAAACTTTTATCTTTTCTAAGAAAAAAAAAACTGATGGAACTTAATCTGCATCAAAAATTTTGGATGTCATCAAGTTTGATTTGTCTTCAAGTTTATGCTGTCATCAAGATTTACTTGAGTTTAATGACTAAAATAAGCTGAAAAACATGATATTTCACAAAAAAAACTTTTGACAGCTTTAAAAAAAGGGTAGTATATGTGATGTAGCCTCAGTAAGGTATAACTTTTACTTTTAAATATAGAAAATTTTAACAAAAACAATTATTTATCATAGAATTTTCTACCTTACAGGTATAATTTTCTACCTTAAAAGGTAGAAAATTATACCTAACTATAGGTGTATTACATATCGCACCTTAGGAAGAAATTTTTTTTGTGTGTGTCCTTACAAGCAAAATCATCAGACTAAGTAAAAGAAGCGCTTATAAACAAAATTTGGACAATTCAGAGTACTGCAAATAAAGTTTGCGTATTGCACAAAACATCTCTAAAATAAAGAAAAGATAACCAAGTCAATATTTATATTTAAGTCAATATTTACTCTACACTTTTACTTCTACAGTTATTAATCATGTTTGTTTTGCTAGTGGTTTAATACTTGAAAATTCAAATAAAACTTTATTTAAGTAGAACTTTACATTTGCAACGTTGGGTTTTATGACATTGAATCAAAATTAGATTTGCATCAGAGAAAATAGCCGATTTTGGCGCAGGTATTACATACGCTAGCCCGATGTTTGTTTGCTAACTGATTAGGGTAGTAGCTGAAGGTAGTCTACTTGTCAAAAACCGGAAATTGACTAAAATATAATAAATATAAGTTTAAAATTGTGACTAAAAAAAACAATGTTTCGTAAACTTTTTGATTCTCTCGCTGTTCAATATTGAATTTAAAAAAGTCTCATATTTGATTAAAAAAGTTATAAAAATGATCATAAAAGGAATGTTTTTGTGAATGATGTTTTTCAAGAAATTAGGGCGTTTCTGTTATTTTAAACTGGTAACTTGACCGTATATGTTTAATGATTTTACTCGTTTTTAAATTAAAACAAGTTCAATTTTGAAAAGAATTTCATGAGATTTCCGATTCTTCAAAAATAAAAGATCCAAAAAGTTCTTCTTTGATGAGCCAGTTTTTTTTTAAATAAAAGATCCAAAAAGGTCTTCTTTGATGAGTTTTATTTGAAATAAAAGATTAAATTACGACTAACAGAGAGGAAAAATTTTATTTTAAAACTTATTTGTTTTTTGCTTTTTTATTTGAACTTATAAAACTCTAGATGGGGTGGAATGCAATAAGTGAACTTTAGTGAAATTCAACTTTAGAGCCTGACTTCGCCAAGACAGACAAAAAATAATAAGTTTCTGCTAATTGCGTAAATGACACTTTAAAATTTCAAGATCGTGCTTGAAATAGTCATACTTAAAAAGTTTCAAAGACGTAGTTTTGAAGGCGGAGTTGTAAAAAAAACTTTGTATCCAACAGTATAAGAGTATTACGAAAAAATAACCTTTGATTAATTTATATTATGAAACAATGTATCTGACTTTTATCCTTCGAAGTATTAAATTACAAAATATATTAAAAGATGTTACAGAAGTAACAATTGCTACCTTTGTATTTTATCTTTATTAAATGATAATTTAGAAAAAAATAATAATGGGTTTAATTGAGCAAGCTTGTGTTACCATCTAGTTAGTCAAAGACTCTAAATACTATGTCATAGCTGCCTAACATAGAAAAGGCATTAGAATATTATTATATATGATATGCGGTTATTAACAAATCATATACGTTGCATACAAGGTTGTTGTTATTCAATTTTCATGTTTAAATTTTTTTTAATTAAATCTAACAAGTTTTCAAGCTAACTCTAACTACGTTTGGAGTCAACTGAAAGTTTATTCAAAATTTGGACCAAATATGACTACAGTATTCTATGCAAAGACGAATAAGACATATATAGTGGTAGAGAACAAAAATTAATAGTAAGAAATTGGTTAACACAAATTAGATTTCAACAAATTGTTGAAATATAGTTTTTAACTAACCTAATTTGTAACCAATTAGATTGGTTAAACAAATTTGATACAACAGAAGCTTTCTTTTATAACGTTTAACAAGCCAGCTAAAGAACGATAGGATCAAAATCTGTATAGGTTGTCAGAGAGTAAGATTCTCTGATTCTCTCTTTAAAAGTTTGTTTATTAAAGATTCTATGACTTTGGTAATAAAAAAGAAAAAACTTACTGAGCAACAGTTTGAGGGGTCAAAGCGATCTTTAGAACTGAAAATGTTTTCCAGTAGGCAAGAAAGCTAGATTTTGCTAGCACTTAAACTAAATAGTTTTGAGAGCAATGAAGAGAGATCTTAAAAACACATTTGTAAAACTCTGGCGGGAATGTTTTACGGACCACAAGTTTTAGAATATATGCAAGAAATAACTTCAGCAAAAGTAGCTAGACTGTTTTAGACGTTTAAAATTGGATTGAATGGTATTAATAAGGTAACAGGCTGAGTGTGGTAATTTGGTTAAATATATAAGTTAAAGAAAAAGTTCTTTGCATTTATTAGTTTAATAATATAAACAAATAATTTCGCATAAATTAGCTTATCTATTTTTTGAGTTTTAGTAAAAGAGATCACAGGAAAAGTGGCAAAATTGAATCAAATTCTAATACCATAACTGGAGGTTAAAAACATTTTAAAAATATTGCCACAAAATCATTTAAATCTAATTTATGAGAATAACACAATATTAGAATTTTTATTACATTTTTGAAAATATTTATATATAGGTTTTCCTGTACGCATAATATCAATACTATTTTAAACGTATACCAAATAAGTCACTGAAGATATCTAAAGTAGAGTCTTCTGAAATTATCAGAAAACTTAGAACCAGAAAAACCAAAAAAATAACAAACGTAACATGAAATTAATATGTCATGTTAATTTTTGAAGTTTTTTAGGTTTTTCTGGTATTACGTTACAAAATGTTTACAAAAATCTGTGATAATATTTATGAATTTACAAAAATCTGTGATAACGTATTACAACACTGATTTTGATAAACACAGTTTTAAGGATAATTTGTTAAGCACTCTATGTTTTTTATTTCACAATATGATTTTTTTTTAAAGTTGAGTTTATTAACTACTTTATTAAAAAAAAATCATTTTTGACACTTTTCATTTATTGATGTTTTTATTCCTTAATTAATTAAACATTTTTAAAATGAATCAAGTCACCACTGTAGTTTCATTTAGTTTCTCCTTCCAAATCTTTTGTAGATGTTTCGGAACCGTTTTTCTCATTATAATTTTAAATTGCATTGTATACCCAAAGATCATTTTGTAAAAGGGTTGTGAAGTAGAGGAAGATACAATAATGTATATTAATTTTTTAGTTTAAATTTTAAAGGAATGATAAGGTTAGCAAACCGTTTTTTTTTTTAATTCCAAAAAAAACATTCTACTATCATTTTTGTGCTGATAATATGGAACATTATCTCCTTTAACATGAATGTGCTGATGAGCTTTAAAACCTGTTTAATGGCTGGTTTGGCAAAATCTTGTAATCCGTGAGCACATCCACCCCATTGAATACAAGCAGACAATATTTTTTTAAAGGACCTTCAATTACCTAGCAGTTTAAAGGAAAATGTTTCTTGCTATTTTGATGCAGTCCTGCATTTTCTCTCCTAGGACTTGTTATAGGATATGTTTCATCTATAGTTCTTATGTATCCAGTAAGCTTTCGAAGTTTGTAGGAAACTTCATCTTCATACAAAGAAGCATTCAGCTGAGAAGAATACGCCCACACCTGAAATGAGCCAGTAGCGTTAAACCAAAATCCAATTGACAGTTATACTAGCGAAAATGTATTTACGTTGTATATATAAAATAATTTATTTGTAGTTTATTCACAAAACTAGTAAATTGAAAAACAAATTTCCGAAATTACTTTAAAAATAGAAGATTCTATATAGCTTTTTACTACATATTTGCAAAATGGCAACTTTTTTTTTTAAATTTGCTTTCAAGTCTGGATGGTACCAAATTTAAATAACGACTTAAAAACTCGTTTGTCAAGTGCATTTTACTCAAGTTCGCTTTTTGCATTAAACTTTATTTGTAATTCAGATTTAAAGTATAACTTGAAACTACGTCACAAAAAGCTAATGACCTCTGCATTAAATGACTTTAAGGTATAACTTGAAATTACGTCACAAAAAGCTAATGACCTCTTCATTAAATGAGTTTAAAGTATAACTTGAAATTATGTCACAAAAAGCTAATGACATCTACATTAAAACAGTTTAAAGTATAACTTGAAATTATGTCACAAAAAGGTAATGACATAAAATCTACAATAAATAAATTTAAAGTATAACTTGAAACTATGTCACAAAAAGGTAATGACACAAAATCTACATTAAATGTGTTTAAAGTATAACTGGAAATTATGTCATAAAATGGTAATAATAAAAAATGTATATTAAATAATAAAAAATTTATATTAAATCAGTTTAGAGTGTAATTTGAAATTACGTCGCAAAAAAGTAATAACATAAAATCTACATTAAAAAGTAATAACATAAAATCTACATTAAAAAGTAATAACATAAAATCTACATTAAAAAGTAATAACATAAAATCTACATTAAAAAGTAATAACATAAAATCTACATTAAATGAATTTAAAGCATAACTTAAAATTATGTCACAAAAAGGTTATGACATAAAATCTACATTAAGTTAGTTTCAAGCTGCTAATGAAGGTGCTACACGTTCTTTAACATTTTTTGATGTTAACTCTTTCTTAAAACTGAATTTGTCTTTAACGGAGGAATTTTTATGCCATAAAGAATAATTGAAAGAATTAGTTTTTTAAGATGAAATCATTTATTATTGTAATAACCAAACCATTAATATCTTCTTCTGTAATGAAAAAAAAACTTAAACTTACTGAATTAATGTTTAAAGTTTGATACTGAGTATGTATTGAGGTACATTTTATATATATGCCATTTTATTATATTTTTACTATAAAATGAATAATATTTACAATGTGTCATATTGAAGCAATTTTTGTATAAACCAAATTATATTATATTTTGATAAAATAAGGTAAGCAAAACATTTAATTTAAATTAGTAAAAATAGAAAATAAAAAGGATTTTTTGTTGAGTTTTGCTCTGCTACACTAACGACTGAAATATATACAAATAAAATATTTTATTATTAAAATACGTAGAGTACCTAAAAGTTGCCCATCATATATCAAATATTCATTTAAAGGTTCATTTGATAAAGCCTTACAATTCTTGCCCAGAAAAAAAAACAATCCATGAAAATATTTTAATCAGATTATAAACACGTCAATAAAACACAAAATTTTCACAAGAATTTGCCACACAAGAATGTACCTTTAAAATAATGTATTAAAAGGGTTATTAAAGATATATAACATTTTGGTATTAAATAAATTTAATATTTTCAAGTTTCGTATCTACCATGTATCATAACTAATTATGATATATTGCTAAGCAATACTTTCGTCAGATGTAAAAGAAAACGATTGATATAAATTTAATTTACATAAAAAATTACACATACTTACGGGTAAAAAGATATTTGACGCCAATAACTTAATACAGACAAACTAATATACACCAAGTGAGATTATATATAGGTCACAAAATGTAATTAAATATAGATCACAGAGTTCTTTAACAGAGTTTAGCTAACGAAGAAATAACAGCGATAAAAATTTGCGCCTGGTTAAAATTAATATAGGAGCTAGAATTTATATAATATATAAGTAAAGAACCAAAAAGATTAAAAGAATGCAGATGAAAATCTGGAAAACCAAAAGAACTAATTTTCTAAAAAACCAATAGTTTTTCAAATTTAAATTTTAGGAAAACTAATTTATTTTCGTTTCTTTCAATAAACAAAAACATTTTTTTTTTTTTTTTTTTTTTTTTTTTTTTGGATATGCCATAAAGATCAACTGGTTTTCTGTGAAACCAATCGGTTTTCTAAATAATTAATGAAAAACCAATTATTGAAAGAGTGTACACTCAAGCCTAATTTCAGATTCGAAATATGATTTGAAATTTAAAGTTCGCGTATAGCATTTCACCCAATATGTCTTTAATTGAAACGAACTTGATATTGATGTAAAATAAATATTTAACCATAATTATGTTAAGATCTATGCCGCACTCTTAAAAATAACTCAATAAGGTTCAAATATGTGCAGCTAAAGCTTTGCATATTTGTTTTATATACTATTTGTAAAGTGTTAATACAAAAATTAGGGATTAATCTTGTGAAACGTTTTTTTGTCAAAATAAATTTTTTTAATTTTAAAAATCAACTAAAGAACTTAGTTTTATAGTATGAAACTATTTTTTGTAGGGGGTATTTCCATTTTAAATGATTTTTTCATATTATAAGAGATAAAATAACACTTATTCGTGTTATTTTTGTCTCTTTAATTTATGCCTTTTATTGGTCTTTATGTTTATGGGAAAAAACGTCAACCGTATGCAAAACTCTTAAATTAAAATGGTCTTCATTGGTAAAGAAAATTTTAAATATATATTCAAATTGAATATAAAATACAAAAAATATCTTTTACTTATCAAGAACAGAGCAATAAATTATTAAAAACACTTACCTAATTTTTAGTTGTCTTCAACAGCATGTATCACGATCAGTAGGTTCATCAAGAAGATGAACCTACTGATGACTTCCTGATGAACATACTAATGGTAAAACATGCTGTTGAAGACAACTAAAAATTAAACAAGTGTTCTCACAAATTTATATATAAATATATATATATATATACATATATATATATATATATATATATATATATATATATATATATATATATACATATATATATATATATATATATATATATATATATATATATATATATATATATATATATATATATATATATATATTAGTTTAGTTAGTGGTAAAGATGTAAAGTCCGTAATGGACACTTGGACTTTGCAACTTGGTTTTCCAGTTATCTCCATTGATAGAATAGATAACGAAACAGTTATTGTATCTCAAGAACGATTCAGCCTGGACATTTTAAATAAAGGTATGTAAAAAGAATATTTTAAAGAAACCAAAAATTAAATTAGAAAAGAGTTGTTTCTAATCAGTTCTTAGATATGTTTTATGAGGCGTGTTATTGTCTCAAAAAAGGCTGACTTTAGTTTTTTTTTTCTTAACGTTAATATTTTTAGAACTTAAAAGAAGAACTCATTTAAAGGAGAAAACTTTATAGTATGTGTAACTTTGTAAAATTGTTTAAGCAAGCTTACACGATATTACAAATTTACTATATATAAAACCATAAAACCTCAATTTTATAACAGGCTTTGGTAATTTAGCTGATTTAGCAAAATAATTTACATGGGTGGTTTTTATACTTTTCTTTTATGTCTAAAAAAGAGCGAATTTTTCTGTAGATAAATTTTTTGAAGGGTTTTACCCTCTGAATATTGCCGAATTTGTGAGTACACTCTGCACAATCTGTATTATAAATTAATATATTGTAACCTAGTAATTGAATTCATATTTATTTATTTTTTTTTTGCTTTATTGACCATTATGCTTCTTTTTTTGACCATCATATGATTTTTTTGTTTTTTTGACAATAATATAACTTTTTGCTTTTGGGACCGTCATTTGACTTTACTAAATTATTGAAATATTCAGAAAATTTTAAAACAACTTTAGAAATTCTATTTAAATAAGCAGTTTTATTAAATGATTTTCTGATAAAGACAACAAACACATTAAACTTGAGTCATCATGTTTGATAATTGCATTGAAATAATGGAACCATAATCAAAAACAAAAGGTGCGCGAAAGAAACAAGACTTTCACTATAAAGAAAAATAACTAAAGTGTAAACAAAACTCAGATATTCACGAATGACGAGACGACAAAGTTACATAATAAAGAGTTCATATCAAGCAAACGACAAAGTTTCTTCATAAAGTTTTCTTGATAAAGAATTTTTACCATGCCTTTGTCGACTTACATTAGTTAGGTGACCTAATTAACAGTACGTATTGCACCTTCTAACATCGTGTGCAATTCCTGTCCGTTTTCTCTGTGCTATCTTTCTAACATGACTACTTCTTTCTTTTACTCTATTTTACCTTCGTTTCTCTTAAACTGACTTTACTCTTGTAAAGCAGTCCGTAGAGCAGGCAATGACGCTCTTTAAGGACCTAAACTTGTCTTTGCGGGCTTTGTTAATGTGGCCTCCGTATAGCACATAGCTGGAGGAGGATAAACCACAATACTTGATATTCACAAATGTATAAAAAATAAACAAAAATACACAACTATACAAATAATCCACAAAAAAACACAACGGTTAAAACAATACAAAATATACGCGACAATATAAACAATGAAAACAGTATAAGTTAATAAAATCGTTTTAACATAAGATTCTCTTTTTTTTTTTTTTTTTTTCATGTTTGAAATTATTACAAACATTTTAAAAAAATAAGCAACTATTTATTTTTCACCATTTTAGGTGATAAGCTTACAACTGAAAAAGTTGTGCAAACAAATAAATTGTATAAAATACAAGTCCATATAAAATGTTTTAAAGCCTTATACATATAATACAAATACCATTACTGATAGTGTTTTACTTTATATATGTAGGAAAGTTATTAATTTACCCATAAAGGAATATAGTTCAAAAAATCTTAAAATTTTGAAAAAATTATTTTAAAAGTTAATATTAAGGGAGCTGCGCAGCCAGAATTCATTTATGCTGGACAAAGTTCTTAATGAATTTAATATTAGGGCTATACTAATTAAAAAGAGCGTGGCTACTAGTATGATGTCTGCTGCTTCTTTGAAGAGGTATTTTTATATTTTGTTGCTATGGATACCTAATTTTGCTCAGCAACATCATTTTAATATTTGCAGATATTTTACGAATACTTTAAAATAAATTACAGATAAGTTTTACATAGTATATTTTATATTAATATATTTTATATCAACAAATAAAATATTTAAAAAACAGACGGGGACTCAAAAAAGATATGAAGCTGCAATATCACCTCAATCTTTTCATAGAGCCCCATAGATATTTTGCAATGACTATATTGCAAGTTTAGGTATTCAAAAGTTTAGAAATATAAACAAACATATACCCAATGATTTGATAATTAATACAATAAAAGACAATTATATCATTGGTAACTACTAAGAATAATAAGTTAAATTCATTTGAATAAATTTACAAAATCTCTTTGGAAATATTTTTTCCTAAATTTTAAAAACGTGTTTTTTTACTTGAAAATTAAATGAGTTTAATGATTTTATCATAACTCCATCCATAACTTAGATCACCGATATGCTATTTAATACTCTGTATTTAATGCTATTTAATATTCTGTATTTAATTTCCTTTGCAGTTTAAAGGAATTTAATGGATTTGTTCTTAAGAAATACTTTTAATTTACATTTTTCTCAAACTTATAAATAAAACTAGCTGGAGTTGGGATATTAATATAAGTATACATGAAATTTAGGTGCTGATAAAAATTTATTTCGTATACATTCATTATTTTCATGTTTCTCATTATAGGTTTAGTATGCTCCTCTCTTTTTTTCTCCTAAATAATTCTACACGCATGTTTTTGCACACTAAGTATTTTTTTAAGTTTTGATGATTGCGTACTACCCCATGTAATATTAGTATAACGTAACAACAAATTAAAGAAAAGTATATTAACTTAAGACAATTTACACATGGACGAACTCGGTATATCAGACCAGTGGTTTAACTAACTTTTTATTATAAATGTTTAATATGGGGTTGCAAAAGTTTGATTTTTGATTTTCCCTATTAAGTTATTGATATATATTAATATACATATATATATATATATATATATATATATATATATATATATATATATATATATATATATATATATATATATATATATATATATGTATATATATATATATATATATATATATATATATATATATATATATATATATATATATATATATATATATATATATATATATATATAAATCAAAAAAAACATAACATGCAAAATATTTATCAACGATTATTTTTTTTTTGGTTAAGAGTTTACCTACATAAAAAAGCAGGGTGATGAGTCAGTAATTGGTGAAATCTATATAAGAAAGCAGGAAGATGAGTCGGTAATTGGTGAAATTTAGTAGAGAGTCATTTATAAATATTGGAATGACTTTGGCAACTTAAAAATATGTGGAAAAATACCACTTTTAAATTAGTTACTTATAACAGTGCAGAGATGCTTTGAAATAATATGTGGGACTAGTTAAAGGAGGAATGAAGGTACGCAAATCAAACCAAGACTTTTTTTAGTTTTAAGTGTGTTTCTAATGAGATATTTCATTTTCAGTTACAAGATTAAAAAAAAATTATTTGGCATTTTGAATGTTAAGAAAGTCACTTAATACGCGTTTAGAGGGTATTACTTTGCTAAGTAGTTTTTTATATATAGTGCTAAAAAAAACTATAAAATATATTAGATGTGTTCAGTAATAAGATTTTTTTTTCAATTTAAGTTTAAAAAATGTATTGTGCGTAGGAGGTCTAATGTTAATGATTTCTTTTATTCCTTTCCTTGTGTTTTTAATATTGTTCAGATTATTATTATAATATCAAATAAAGTATATTTTTTTGCTAAATTTTTTTAAATTGGAAATTTTGTTTCTACAAATTTTTAATTTTGCAAATAATTCATTTTTCTTATAATTTTTTTTTGATTTTATAAATTTTTTATACATTTTGCTTTTAACTAAAGTAGATTTAAGTATTCCATACACAATCCAACGTTTCGATTTTAGTTTAATTTGTTGATTGGTTAGTATTTAGTAAGGAGCATGTAGATGTTAGATTTCATCAAATATTTTTAAAATGAAATTCATGGATTTATTAGCATCATCATCTATTTTAATGGAGAGCTCCCAGTTGATATTAGAAACTTCTTTAATAAATATACTTTTACTAATTTTTTTAAAACATCGTCTGTACGTTTATACTGTTTTGTGGTGTTTGGATGTGCAAGGAATGCAAATAAATTGTCCCATATGGTCTAAAATTAAAATTATAAGGTGAACTGAGAATTAATCAGTTAAAAGAAAGTTCGTGAATATGTTATCAATGAGCTTTTTTAATGTAGCTGTTATGCGTGATGGTAAAATTATAGAAGGGCTTACTGGGTTAGATGTTAAAGAATCAAGATATGTAAAAATAGGGATAGATTCATTGTGACTTGATAGACCCATATTAAAACTACCCATTAAAAAAATCATTTTTTTTTTCGTTACTTAACTGTTTAAGTAGAGAAGTTAAGCGGGAAGAATTAAATTCATGTTGGTTCATTGAGGGATGACGATAAATGCAGTCAATTATTATATTTGATTTAAAAGATTTTGCTGTTTCAATAAAAATAGACATGTTAGAGGAGCGATGTTAAAATGAATATATTGATTTGAATTGGGAAGCATAGCTTTATTGAGATCAATAAAGTCATAGTATTTGCAACTAACAGGACTGGGAAATATCTTTAGATCTTCAAAAATTCTGATTACTTGGAGCCTTAAAAGAGTTAAATGAACTAGTAGATATACTCTAGCATAATAATGTTGCTCTAAGCTCCAAGTTGGTAATCGAGCTAAAGGCCATACTCTTAGATTAACAGCTATGACAATACAAACCTGACGAGTCATTTAAAGAAGATTATTAGAGTGTGCATTAATATGGTTATACTATGTAAGGACCTATGGGTTACAAAGATCACATTAGATGTCTCTTTGATTATCAGTTATATTTTTATGAAAATTGTTGCAGAGAGATTTAAATGTCATAATCATTAGAAAATATTTATATATGTACACGCAGTATTAACTAGTTAAAGTGACAAAAGTGTAATAAAGATAGCAGAAATGCAAAGTAAAAGATTTAATTTAATAATAAAAAACTTGTGTAACCGTTGCAGTGAGTAATAGTTATAAAATAGTTATCTTTAGTGTTAAAGCAAATAGTATTGAAATTAATAAGTCAAAAAAATTTAAACTTTTAAAAATAAGAAACATCACGAGCTAATATTAAAAGTAGTTTGATAACAAAAAATTTCGAATATAAAAAAAAATAATAATAATAATACTGTAAAAATATAATATATTAATAATATATACTAATAATAATATAACTACTGTTAACTGCTACCAATAATAATATTATTAACGAAGATATTAAAACAATAATAAATAAAAATATTTCAATAATAAATAAGTTTATAAAAATATAATATTAAACGTAAATGTAATAAATAAAATCTCTAGGTATCAAACAAGGACTAAAAATGAATATAATCAACTATAAATAAATAATATAATGTGAGAAAACGAATAAAAATATAATGACTGAAAAATTATAACTAATGAATTCGTTTAACCATGATTACAAATTATATCGTAAAGAAAAAAGAAAAATAATTAAAGAAAAACGATCTTCTCTACTTTTGCTTTTTCTTCTTTCTTTTTTATTTGATTATTTAATTTTTCTTTTCTTTTCTTTCTTTTATTTGTTTCCTTTACTTTACTTTCGTTCTTTTGTTTTCTTTTTTTTTTATTTAAGATTATGAAGTGTGTTTTTTGTTGGTTTGTTTTTTTAATTTTTAAGTTCTATTTTTAATTTTTGTATAAATTTTTTTTTCTATCCATTTTGAATGACTTTTTGTGTGGGTGTTTGCTTTAAGTTAATTTATGTGATCGTTGATGATTTATTTATTCATATAAAATAAATAATTAATATTTTTATATATATAGTGTGGTTTTTTCTCCATTTTTCATATTTTTCTTCACTTTTCTATTTTGCCGTTATAAAAACGCGTTCGCCATTTGCAAAGACCTTGCGAAGACTTAAATAGTAAAAAAACATAGATTTATAATAATGTTATAGATTTATAATAACTCTAATTGTGTTGCGTACATCTAAATAATGTTTTTCTACTTTGTTAAAACCTAAGGTTTAATCAAAAAAGTTGCGAAGAAAACATAAGTAAAAAAAACCTATTTATATCTTTTCTCCTAAAGTTTTTGTTATTTGAATTGTTATATCTCAAAGCTCAAAAATGTGTATATAAAGCAAGATAATTCTAACCTCGCGAAATATTGCATCGTTATAGAACAAAACTAAACAAAAAATATTATGGATCACAAAAATCACACAAAAAACATCCCGAAACTACTTGGTAACAATGCCATTGTAGAGCAGATGTAAATATGCCATATGTATCAGTAGCTTTTCTAATTCTATGTTCCTTTTTACTTATAGCAAAAATTGTATTTGACCCCATTTTGAATAATTGAATTTTCTTATACAATATTTTACCATCGTTATTTACATTAAACACTAATAATAATCGAAGTTAAGTTTTAATAGTAACTAATTCTTTAAATTTATTTCTAATATTGTGTTTCTAAATAAGAAAAATAAAACTTTATATTAAAAGCAAAATTATCAAACAGTAAACAGCATTACAAAATGGTAGTAATATAGTCAATTATATAAATAACTTGTTGTCCCTAATTGTCCCCACAAAATTGTCCCCAGCAAATTGTCCCCACAAAAGCCATTTTACTGAAATTAGTACTATTCAAAAAGTTCAATTTCTAAAAGAGATTCTAAAAGAGGATAAAAAATACTGTCTGAAAAATATAAACTTTTTATAAATAAAGCAAATTAGTCATTGTTCAAGATAAATCATTTGTCATTGTATCGCTTAAGAAAATACGCAAATTTTGTTTTTCGCAAACTTATTGATGCTTTTTGGTACTTTTAATGCACTTTGGTATTTTTAAAATAAAAATGATTTAATAATAATGAAGCACAATAATTAAAAATGTTTTGTCGAAAAAAACATTTTTTGAAAAAATAATTTTTAACTGAAATATATAGCTTCAAGCATAATTGTCCCGTTATGTCAACTGTCGCAATTAGCCCCGCTCTACCCTAAACAAAGACGAGATTTGCTACTTTACAACTGTAAAGAAAAGTATAACTTTCGGCTAAGGTTTTAAAAAGAATTTGTTATTTCAGAAAATATTTTGAATGATTTGCGGTAAAAATTTCAGCATTTCTATTAAATGAATTACTTATGAAAATATAATTTTTTTTTTCTAGTTTCAAAATGCTTTGAATATTTTCTTGCTTTTTCTTTTCAAGTCTCAAACGCTCAAAGTTACCGTAACTAAGGGATTTAATACAAATGCAATATCTATAAAGTTCTCCTCATATATATAAATGCTAAAATTAAATAAGTTTTAGAGTTTAAACAACTAAAATTTTTTCCACCTACTAACCCACTTTGAGTTGGTTATTACATTTTTGACCTTGTCGAATTCTTTTGTTTAAGGGTTGACACTCAAATAATAATTTATAAGGGGGAAAGTTTATAAACTTTTTTTAAAAATGCCCATTTCAAACGTATTGAGATTTGTTAAACTCATTCGTTTAGTAAGTTTTATTTAATGTTAAAAAAAAACTGTATCTAACTGAAAAAAATAAAAACTTTTAGAGTATTCAGGCTTAAAATATCAAAATATAACGTGACTGATCGAAAACCTTCATAGTAATCTGACATTAAAATTAACAAACATTAAACAAGAGCTCAAAATTTTATTGAGATTTTAAATGATAACTATTATAAACAAGATTTATTGATAACTAAGAAACTTGTATTGCTTTTGCTATACACTTTTGAGTTGTTTGTCCGCATATTAATTCCAGAATCCTTAGTTTTAACTTTTTTATTTTACGTTACATATTTTTTAGGTAACAGGATAAATATTTATCATATAACTACTGTTTAGTTTTTTATGGTTTTGTACATCCATTCGTAGTTCAGGGACATTTTGAGCTAGGTTTTTATTTTATTTTTTTATTTTTTTAAACAATTTAAAAATTATTTTTGTAAAAATTTTTTATAAAATGTTTCGCAGATTTATTTGCATTGTCATTAAAATTAATATAATTCCCATGGAGTAAATATAGCTGATCTTTAAATAGTTCAAAGTTTTTCTTTGTTTAAAAATAATACATTTTCTTACAACTTTTTTAATATTAATTTAACTCTAAAAACCTGATTTGTTGAGCTGATATTTTTTTC